AAAGCAAGATCTCAGAACATGCTGCACTTAACACATTTAACCCTGCCCTGGTGGGGCTAAAGTTATTTTTGACATTTTCAACTGATCATGCAAACCCTGTTACACAATCCTAACCCTGCTGTAACCCTCCAGTCACAGACAACAAACTCAGTAAATTCTTCTTTTTTTGCTGAGAAAATTCCGCCTTACATTTCATTTGTGCCGACAATAGTAAGGAGAGGAAAACTCTCAATATTTAACCCTGTAGAGTTAAGGCAGTAAAAAAATCTGAATTCCAGCTATCTGTAGACTCCAAGTTAATGAAACATTGTCATGCATGTCGATTGTTTTTGGCCGTGAGAGCTTGATGGGAGTCACAATTTTCAAGTAGCTAATGGCCCACTATTTGACAATCCCCCATTTTAAAGAAAGCTCTTTATCTTAAGTGCCAAAGTAAATATTAATTTTAAAACCCAGTGTCCTGTTCAGATCATGCAGTACTGCCAGATTGGACAGTGTCACTATGGTGAAGATACCAAAGTGTACAAATTTACAATTGCGAGGAGACCAGATAAGCAAACTCGATAGGACATCTTTGATGTAGCTAGAAAATCATTTTGTTAATTTAATGCTTATATTTATCTATAAAAAAAAATAAAAGAAAAAATAAGCGCGCTTATGTTAATGCAAATACTGTCTACTTCTAAAAGATATGTTTCTCTTAGATATATTTTATGAAACGATTTTAGACTTACCTGATGTTTGTAGGTGATCTACCTTTAAGGTATTATGAAGGTTTTGCCCAGATGGAATTTTGGCGGAATAAACCAACAAGTATATATTGGAAGCTATTGTTTAGGCTTACAACCTCTCTCTAAGATTGCAGCTAAGTAGATGATAATGTTTCCATGACAACTGAGTGACTGTAGTGTAGAAAGTGATTGTCAATCAGTAGAAGCCTGGCATGTGTTTTTTCAACTTACTCTGTGATTAGAAAACTTACAGCAGAAATGTTAGCACAGTAAAATATCCTATAAAACTCATATAAATACACTAACAAAAAAGCAAAAAAACTAAAATAAAAAAAATAACCCCATAATCTGACTGAAAATGAAATAATCTATTTTTTTGGAGACTATACATGGCTGATACACAGTAAATAACAAATAGCTGCAAAAATGTCAGGAATCTGTACTATTCATAAATGGAGAGACAAGACACCTCAAAAAGCTAGGTGCAAACCATATAAACACTCCCTCAAGTGTTCAAAGTATCCCAACATCCATATATTACAGTATGCACACTATAACCATTATAAGTCAAAAATGCAATTTATTATGTACATAATAGTACCACATACAAATAATAGAAAAATAAGTAAACAAAATGACAGTAGCAATCACAAAAATAAGTAGTACAATACCAGCAGAGCTCCACACTGCCCTAGGACAGAAACACGAGCCATGAAACCCCCAAAGTTTCGGCAACCAACCGCTGCCTTTATCAAGGGTACCTGTATCCCAGTCATAATGTGTCTGTTTATAAATGCCTCCTTACAGCTGATGGCCATCAGCATAAAGCTGTCACCACCTCCAGAAGTGACATAATCACTTCAAGTGCTGGCACAATGGTTAAATAACAAAATAGGTGCTGGAACTTAATATTCTCAAATACTCTTAAGGGCAAGAAACTATATAAGCAGAGAAGCTATCCCAAGCCTCACAATAATAAATACATAAAACATCCATAGTAAATAATCATACCAGATGTAAAGTGTCCGTAGCCGCCATTATGCTTATTGGCAAGCGGACACATCCGTCAAGTAGCCTCGCAGGTATGCCATCCGCCCCCACAGGTAATGACCTATCTCGCGAGCATCTGTAGCAAATGCCGTGCGTACGCAAACATATCCAAGTGAATAAGCACAGCGCATGCGTTCAGAGGCTGAGCGCTCGTGCGTACATCACTCACTTACTCGCGCACGCGCGTGTACTAAAAGAAGCCGCGCAGGTGCAATACTGTAATTTGTCAGAGTCTGGCATGCGCACGCGCAGAATGACAAGTAGCTAAAACGGCCAGTACTGTATAAGGCAACACCTGAATCAAATACAGCGCCCTATACAAGCACTCCAAGCCCATAGTATGCATATATACACATGCCCGAGTACTAACACCCAGAAGCTGCTGAAGAATCACCATAACAGCATATATATGTATGAGGTCATGCAAGCATGAACGTAGATAGGTCCCGCAAGACTAGTAGCGCGTTCCGATCAAAAAGTATCCGGCATCTCAACAATATGAGTAGCCAAATCAGCATGACCAGAGTAGTGCCAATCTATAAAAAAAAGAATAAAAACAACAGATTAGATACAGACAACACACAGGCAGAGTGAAACAAATGCCAGAACTACAAAAACTGAGATAAATCCTTGTCCTCATTCAAGCCCTTAGGATAAAACGTCTGAAGCTCATAAATCCAATGTAGCTCCTGTCGCTTCAGCCTAGTCACTCGTGAGATACCACCACCACTGGATTTAACAATTTCCAGGGCCATGTACCTCAACTGGGACACCATGTGTCTTTTCTCAGAAAAATGCCTAGCCACCGGATATTGCATCCTGTTCATCCGTATGCTACTTTTGTGTTCCCTAATCCTCGTTTTAAAGATGCGCGTGGTCTCACCCACATACGCCAATCCACACGGGCATTTAAGCATGTAGATCACAAACTGAGACTGGCAATTACAAAATTCTATCTGTCCTCGGGTGCACAAAATGATCCCCCGTGATCACCCCACTGCAATTAGTACAGTGCCCACAGCAGTACATACCGGGCGTCGCAGAAAACCAAGTATCAGTTGCATCCGTCTTCCCCTGTAAATATTCCTCATCGGGTGGTCCCTGAGACTCTTATGCTGCTTAAAGGGAAACAAAGGCCTCTCATTAAAACACCGCAGGAGTTTAGGATCAGATCGCAAGATACTCCAATGCTTACTAATGATGTTTCTAATCTCCTTAAAGTGAGTTGAATACGTCAACACACACGGGATACCCTTGCTACCCTCCCTGGCTTTTTTCTGCAAGAGGGTACTCCTACAGAGCGAATTGTCCCTATCCCTACAACCGGCAACCACATCAGTCTCATATCCTCTAGAGGAGAACGCCTTCACCAACTGCTCAGCCCTTGCATCATATCCAGCCTCATCAGACACTATCCTACGTGTCCTAACAAACTGACCATACGACAAATTCCTAATGAACGATGGTGGATGAAAGGAATCAACGTGCAAGTATGAGACCCGGTCCGTGGGCTTCTGATATAAGTCAAAAGACAAATGACCCCCTCTTACCTGAAGATTAACATCCAGAAAGTGCATCTCAGGAGGATCATATTCCAGTGTGAAAAAAATGGTATCCAGATATCAATCAAGCCTCCCTTTGAAAAGCATTAGATCATCCACGCTTCCTGTCCAAAAAAAGAAAATATAATTGTAACGGACCGTTTTGCACACAAGAGGTTAAAAACCGTTTAAGCGTTATTCCCCTTTTCAGATGTACAGGCAGCAACTGCAATCACCAATCTCCCGAACTGCAAACACACGAATTCACCAATCTCCCGAACTGCAAACACATGAATTCACCAATCTCCCGAACTGGAACCAGGGGAATGCTCCAAACTCCCGAACAGGAAACACACGAATGCTGTAAACAGCCGAACAGGAAAAAACATACAAACAGTTTACACTCCTGGCAGTCGCACTGGAACAGCATACAATCCAATTCCCCCCAAGAACGAGACGACACTTCGTTTGAGGGTCAAGCAGAACTGATTTACTGGGGCTACCTGCCCGGCTTTTATGCAGGTCTCCCACTTGGTGGACACTTCCCTACGGGATCAGATGGAAGACTGGGAAACATATTGGACATTGACCAATCACAAGCTTACAATCCCACCATGCATCATAATCCCTCCTCTCTGTCCTGGAGATAATTGGGAAGTAATCCAATTATCTCCAAGTACAGAGGCAAAACTCCATTAACCACATGGCAGACAAAGAACAATAAAAGACATAAAATTGCATACTGTTAGATTCATCACATAGAACATACACATTCTACCTATCCCCAGATAGCCTAGATCTGAGTGCACATTATTACCGGATGGCGCTCAGATCACATGCATACAGTTCAATCGCCATGGAGCCAAAGTCTTTCCCATAGTCTTTCGGTATACGAATGGGCTCCATGGCTTAGCTATCTGGGGTAACACTGCTCACATAGGGAGAATAAAAGGTTTTTAATGCAGGGCCATAGTCCAGCGGCAAGAGGTGGGCAACCAGGCTCCTCCAGTGGTCAGTGGCGAGGTTGGTTCCGCCACAATCATCTATAAATCTGAGCCACAACCTCACACACCGTGCGAAGTCCTGGTCCCATACACAAAAGCATCCTCAAAGGCGGCCAGAAATAGGTTGGCCTATGTGGGTGCCACATTAGAACCCATCGCTGTCCCTTGTACCTGAAGGTAGTACTTACCCTCAAAAGATAAATAATTCTTATACAGTACCAGTGATAACAAGTCCACAAGGAACCCTCTATAGGCCTCACTCATATCCATGCCCTGCATGGCACCAAATACTGCCTCAATTCCTTCCTTGTGAGGTATAGAGGTGTACAAGCTGTTAACATCCATCATACAAATTAAAGCACCATCGGGTATATCGCCAAATACTTCAAGTTTACGGATAAAATCCATGGTGTCCTGCACATAGGACCACATCCCCTTCACCAAAGGCTGTAGATGTAAATCAGCAAATCTAGATAAAGGTTGTAATTTTGACCCACACCCCAAGACAATGGGGCGCCCCGGTGGATTCCAAAAATCCTTGTGGATCTTAGGCAACAAGTAGATGGAAGGGGTTTTAGGATTATCCACATTGAGGAAATCATAGTCCCTCTTCTCAATCATCCCCTCCTCCAATGCTTTCCTAGTAATCCCATCTATTATAGCACCTAGCTCACCTGCCGGGTCATCATCAAGGATCCTATAGTGATGCACATTCGTCAGCTGCTGATCCATTTCCACTAGGTACTTCTGAGTGTCCATAACCACCAAGGCGCCACCTTTGTCGGCGGGCCGAATAGAGAGAGAAAGATCCTCCTTCAATACACGTAGCGTCAGCAATTCGCTCTTGCTTAAATTAGATTTATATTTCTTTTTCCATTGTATCCTATCGATATCCATCTGACAGGATTTAACAAAAGTTTTGATACTTGCATTAGTCAGGGGCGGGAGAAATCTACTCTTTGGTCTACATCTCGTACAATCGTACTTAGTGGATTCAGCTTCCACTCTCTGTTGATCCTGATCCATCTGAAAACCCTGCAAATGAAAAAATCCTTTTAAACGAATAATCCGAAAAAAACGCTCCATCTCAATATCGGTCTCCAATTTATCCCCAGAGTAAGTAGGCACAAACCCAAACCCTCTCTTCAACACACTTACTTGCGCTGACGTTAACGTCTTACTCGAGATCTGCTGCCTGTTCCTCCCCGGGTACCTATTCCTGGACTCGGCTGCTACTGGCAACGTTGCTTTCCTGCTCAGTCTTTCTTCTCCTCCTCCCACGTCTTGTTCTAGAGCTCTTCCTAAAAAAATTAACCTGGTTGCTAGATTCAGAATCGCCTGATATACCTTCAAAATCGGATAAGCTAGTATCGTTAGTATTCCTATTTCTCCTCTGGAAGTTATGTGGTTCATGTTGTTGTCTCCAAAAATACACCTTATCCTCCAAATTGTCAATAGTATCGCTATGAAACTTGTCCAACCTCCTACAAAGCACCTCTTCTTTACATTTAGGTAACCGGGAGGAAATTGCAACCAATTTATCCTCTGTCACTGATTTCTCACCAGTCTCAAACAGCTTTTTCTTGGCGTCACAGACCTTCTTTTTCAACCAACTCCTGCTGTAACCCCCCTACCGTCAGCGTTATCAGATCTAGGCTGCACTTGTTTAAGATTCTGTACCAACTGGCACAAAAATCCTTACGCAGCTTACAAAAACTAGGCCTAATATTAAGCCTTAGCCCCCTTGGGATCCACAGTAGGTAATGATATTTTATGCGTTTCTACTAAGACCTGCAAGTCCTTGTATTTTACTTTTATACTAGGTGTACTCTCTTTTCATAAAGAAAAATTTACAAAAAAGTTAAACTAAAAATGAATTTTCCATAAGTCATATAGAGGTGAATTATCGCTATACGTGTTGGACAACCTAGCTTAAGAAATGCATTCTTTGCATTATATAGAAATGAAATACAGTGGTCAGCCTCCCAAGCCTAGCCTCAAGAGGGCAGGAAAGGGGTGGTGGATCACTGCATCAAAGTCTCCAAAGATTGGAGGGAGATCACCTAAACTGTGCTCTGGAGGAGGGGGTAACCCTCAATACAAATAGAAGAAAAAACCAACAGAACCTAAAGTGCTACCCCATACAGGTGCGCAGTAGGCAGAGCACAGTGTGTATGAAGAGATAAAACCCTTATATTTATTGAATCTAGACACAAAGTTTGACATTGAAAATGCAGCTCTAAGGTAGGTATACAGGGAACAAGTCAGGTGATGGCAGGTAGATGTGTCCAGTTTGAGAGTAGCGGAGTAGGAGTCCCCTTGGTGTAGTGGAGTGGCAAAAAAGGTTAGTCTATGTTAAGACACCTCCAGTGTCTTTAGGCAAAACCGCCGTTTAGTAGACCTTCCCCGTCTGCAGTAACAGTAACTCAGTTCGCCTAACCTGTAGTACACGAACCAAATGCAGGGGAAGCGGCAATCTCCCGACCGAGATCCGTGAACGGCTCCAAACTCCCTAACGGCAATACACGAACTGCTGCTAGGCGCCGAACAACAATATCCACCAAGCGGCTTTCGGTTCCATCCAGCAGTCTCTAAACGTGAAGAAGAAATCCCCCCATTAATGAGACAGAAGCTACCTGCCCGTATTTATGCAGGTCTCCCACTTGGTGGACACTCCCCTAGGGGACCAAATGGGAGACTTAAATGACAGACAGATATGGGGACATTCCAGACACACACAGTCACAGATTTTACCCACAGTGCATTATGATTCCCTCCCCTCTGCCCTGGAGATAATTACCAAGTAACTCAATTATCTCCAGGACGAAGCCAGTCGCCATTTTAAATATAACATCATAAAAGACATAAAAATACATAACTTTCAAATAACTGAACATTTCCCATTCGTATCACATATCCCCAGATAGCCTGGATCTGAGTGCATATTATTAGCGAATAGCGCTCAGATCCCACACACATAGTTCAATCGCCATGGAGTCAAAGTTCTTACAGTCTTTCGGTATACAAATGACTCCATGGGAAGGCTATCTGGGTTAAGTATTTTCGTATGCTCCAAACCTCCCGAACGGCCGGTATTCGTATGCTTTCGTGGAGACAGCCAGGCGTTCCGTTGTTTCAGCGGTGTTCGGCAGAAAAAGTGTCCGTTTTTAGTTCCATAGAAATAGAGCCAAACACCGCTGGGCTTTCCGTGGTTTAAAATGGCCGCTGCCTCGTGGTCGACATACGAACAACGACCACCCTGAATTCGGTTTAATTGAGAAGTGTCTGCGGTTAACCACAACGTTCTAATTGGGATCAATAGGTTAACCAGCAGCACACTTCTCTCCTGGGTGGCCGTCCGTTCGGCAGGTTTGTTCGGGAAAAAAGTCATTCGAATGGCTGGGCTATAGAAAACAGCCATTCATACGAACAGGATACAAACAGACGAATGCAACTAAAATACAAGCAGGCAGATGGTTCTGTCACAGTCTAGTTAACAGGACTATTGTATCACTCCCCAGGAGTCAGTACTAGAGTCACCTATCTCCTGATGGAAGCATATACTAATAGTACACATGTCAGGATCTTACCTGATGGGGAGTCCGGCTCGCAGAGTTATACGCTCACCCTTGCAAAGTAGACACAGACCAGGGAAGACGCCACCTGATCTGTGAGTCTGTGCACGGGGGCTTTCCAGGAAAAGTGCGCCAAGTCTCAGTACAGCAGGGATTAGCAGAAGCGTGGTCAAGGGAAGCCAAAATCAGGGAAGCCAGAGGTCAGAGTAGTCCAGGAGGAAAGCCAAGGTCAGAAGCCGGAATTAGACAAGAATCACTGGAACGCAGGTACGGAGTAACAGGAACCAAACAAGGGAACCAGAGTCAATGAACTGACACCCCTCCCAGGGTGAGGCAGGCTTTTATATCCTGTTAATTAGGATCAGATTCAGCTGGAGAGTTACTGACAGATCAGAGCCTTTGGTGAAGTCCAGCCCCCTGGTGCTGCAGGCAATACAAGAATAAACAGGGAGTTATCCAAAGTCCTGAAATGGCTCAGAGGAAGAACAGCAGGATATGGTCCAGAAGAACCACAGTTCAAATCCCCTATCGGGCGCTTCCAGAGCGACCACGTCTGGCAGACTGGATGTCACGGCGTGGACCGTGACAGTACCCCCCTGTCAAGAACGCCCTCCGGGTGTGAACAGGCTCTTCCTGGAAATGGTACTCTTCATCTTCAGTATCAGTATCACTAAGATAGTCTTTGTAATCAAAGTCTACAGACTGGGACTTTATGGTACCAGTTTCGGGTGCTAATGGGAAGAGGTCAAGGTTATTCATGGATTTGGTGCAGGCGGTAAGTACCTTGATCCCAGGAGTCAGTTTCTCTGAGCTTTTTTTCTTAGGTGAGTCACCAGGAGCAGAGCCCACAGCTTTCAAAGCTTTTTCGAAGACTTCTAGATCTTGTTTCCACACAACTGTGCCATTTGAGGCATAGGTGCAGTCAGGAGGCAGAACTGTTTTGGCAAGGCAGGAAGTGGTGATGGTGCTTGCTTGAACAGAAGTGTTATCAGGAAGAGGTCCAAATGTTTCTAGAGCAGGAGGTGAAGTTTCCACAGAGGTACTGGTAACATTAACGGTATTAGTTTGGGTACCCTTTTGTGTCACAGGACGGGGACAGGGCTGGCAGTGTCCAGGCTGTCTTGCTGGGATGACAGGGTAAGTCCATATGGCACCAGACAGAAGGGGTCTTGTCCTAAGTGGACGAGTCGGGCAGAACGATATGAAATGCCCTCTTTTCCCACAGTATAGACATAGACCATGGGCTCTCCTGCGGTCTTTTTCCTTCGGGGGCAATCTAGTTCTGGTGAAGCCAATCTCCATGGGTTCCTCCATGTCGACTGGAGTTTCACTGCTAGCTCGAGTGTAAACAGGGTTACAAGGCGGGTCCCTGAAAGTGGGTTCATGCTGCAACAAAATGGGATTTTTGTATCCAGAAAATAATTCCTCTTCTCTAGGCAACCGGGTTCTGCGAGGACCAGAAATAGGCTTGGGAGTTGCTTTTCTTGCTGTAAAACACTGAGAATCCATTGCGGACATAAACAACTCCCAGGAGTCCAAGACAGTACTTCTCTCCTGTAGCTTCTGGTGTGCCCACGCCTTAATTCGCCCGGTACATAGGTTAATAGCGGAGCGTACTTTGATAAAGTCGGTGGCGTAGGTTCTCGATTTCAGGGCAAATAGTAGCTCACAATCCGTCTTGAACATCGGAAAAGCAGAACGGGAACCGTCGAACCTGTCAGGCATAAAGACATACGGTTCTGGGCATACATGTTCCGGGACTGCAAGCGTTGCTCCTTTCAATGCCAATGAATGTCTCTGCAATTCTGTAACATTCTGGGACAGGTTGGAGACTTGCTCGGCCAGGGAGGTGAGTAACTTGTATAACTCTGCAGACTCCATTGGTCAGTTCATCTGTCAGGATCTTACCTGATAGGGAGTCCAGCTCGCAGAGTTATACGCTCACCCTTGCAAAGTAGACACAGACCAGGGTGACCAGGTAAGACGCCACCTGGCCTGTGAGTCTGTGCACGGGGGCTTTCCAGGAAAAGTGCTCCAAGTCTCAGTACAGCAGGGATTAGCAGAAGCGTGGTCAAGGGAAGCCAAAATCAGGGAAGCCAGAGGTCAGAGTAGTCCAGGAGGAAAGCCAAGGTCAGAAGCCGGAATTAGACAAGAATCACTGGAACGCAGGTACGGAGTAACAGGAACCAAACAAGGGAACCAGAGTCAATGAACTGACACCCCTCCCAGGGTGAGGCAGGCTTTTATATCCTGTTAATTAGGATCAGATTCAGCTGGAGAGTTACTGACAGATCGGAGCCTTTGGTGAAGTCCAGCCCCCTGGTGCTGCAGGCAATACAAGAATAAACAGGGAGTTATCCAAAGTCCTGAAATGGCTCAGAGGAAGAACAGCAGGATATGGTCCAGAAGAACCACAGTTCAAATCCCCTATCTGGCACTTCCAGAGCGACCACGTCTGGCAGACTGGATGTCACGGCGTGGACCGTGACAACACAAAAGGAAACAAGAGGGGGAAAAAGGCACTAAGCCACCACCCTGCTAAAACATGGAGGGTCAGAAGACAGAGCGAAAAAGCTACCGTAACCCTATTTACCTTGGCACCGCACAAAACTAGTGCCTATCTGAACCAAAAATCCCTAAGGCTACCAGCAAAGAACACACAAAGCAAACTAAGTGCACATAGTGCTACCCAAGTGAAAAAAAAAAAATCAATGATTAAAAGAAATGCCCGATAGTTCTTATGGGGATTGAGTCGGTGCCCCAACCTCCACGGAAGGGCAGTTGGGATAATAAATTATGTCCAGGGAGGCCTATTGAATATATAGACTTAATACTTTG